AAGACTAATATAAAATTTATAATTCAAAGAATTTTTGTACTAAAAATGCTATTTAGGAAGTAACAAAAAAGCTATCCTAACGAAGCCTTTCATATTCTTTGATCGAGTAACTCTCTATGTAATCATTTCTTATATACTAAGGCTCGTTTGGAATGATTTCTTATTACTTTCTGAAAGCAGCTTTTTCAGTAAAAGAAATTTCAAAAAAGTCACTTTAGAAAGCAATAATCCATTTTTTCTCGTTACATAAGCAGCATATGCCAATTTTTAAAGGTACTCATTAAAGAGATACATGAAAGTTTGATGAAAAAAAAGAATAGATATAAGCGCCAAAATGCATTGAATTACTATTGTCAGTTCATTGGGGAATATTTGAACTCAAATGCATCATATTTAAATAATTATTGTTAAGTTGAGTTCATGTATGAGTGTTGAATCATAAATTGTGTCAAAATTATATTATTTGAATGATATTCTTATTTGCTTAGCACAGAAATTATCAAAATATATAATAGTCACATCAAACAGTAATATAAAAAAACAAGAATAATATTGTGTATATTTTTTTCTTATTAATTAAAATTTAAATATTATTTAAGAAAATTTATAACCTAGTTGATTTATTCATTTACAAATTAAAATTTTTTACTTAATCAAATCATTGATATGAATTATACAATTTTATTCAAAAATGCATTAATCTTCTTCGTCAGAGATTAGGTTTCTACACCCAGTTTCCGCTAAGAGTTGTTGCATCTTTGTTATCAACAGTTCCCTCCTTCGAATAGTTCATCGGGTAGGCAAATTCATCTTCTTCCTCTTTTGTTTCATGATTTTTCAAAAAAAAAAAAAAAAGAAAAAAAAAAAAGATAAAGATAAAGCGTTTGTGAATAGTGCGACGTCAATATTCGTATCGCACTGTTCGCGTCAAGAAATTGTCGTTTAAATTAGCGTTCGTGGTGGATTTAACATGTGCATTGTGCAACTCCTTTAACGAAATCTCTATGCATCTCTTTTTTAAATGCTCATACACTCACAGCATTATTACCTCTCTGATACTTGCATGCTCTTCGATTCTGCTTAGGCCAAACTTGATGCAGTTGTTTGACTAGGTTGACGACTGCCCCATTACTTCTTTAAAAATTAAAAAGATTTTACTATCTCATCATTTGTTGTACTATTTATTATGTTTGAAAAGAAAGAAATGAGAGGAGGTTTGCTCATTCTGCTTCTAGCTCTTCAACGATCTATATTAAGATAAAAAAATCCATTTTTTTCTAGAGTCTACAAATGGAAGGAAGCGAAAATGTTGCTGGATCTGCTTTAAGGGTCTATTTTTTCAGCTACGGAACTACGTGCTGCTCTCTATTTTTGAATTTTCTGGCATGCTTCTCTTTCAACTGTTGCTGTGATGGCTATCGATTCTCTGGTTTTCGTTTATGGGAATATTGGCAGGTTTTGGATGGGTTTTCCAATTTCAAGGGCAGTGATGCTAGATTGCTTTAGCGATCCCCCTGGATGGCGTTCTCTTGCAACCTGATTTTCTCTTGATGGCAATCCTTGCAACCGGGGGAGTTTTTGTTCTTTCCGGCGATTGCAATCTTTTTTACTTCTGAGCCCTTCTGATTTCTTTGAAGCTTATTGTTTTTCCGTTATTCTTTTTATCATCTATATTTTTGGTGGAGAAAGGTGATGTTCCTTTTTTTGTCATTAGGGGTTATTTATCCCCTTCTTTTTGTTCTTTATACTTTTCTTTTGCACATGTAACTAGTTCTTATTAATGGAATTGAGCTATGCCCTTAACTTTCAAAAAAAAAAAAAAAAAGCGTTCGGATGGAGCAAGCGGTAAACGACAAATATTTGATTGACGTTTAGTTGGAGATGGCCTTAGCTCTCTATTCCCACTTGAGTTACATCAGCCTAATATTTTTTTCAAATGTTATTACACTTTGAATCGTTAAGCAGCCTCTGCTTTCAATCTCATAAAATGCTCTTATATTTGCTTTGGACATTACCGTTTGGCCATATTTGTCTCAATCCCATTTTAAAATTAGAATGAAAACAAATGATAAGCTACGACACAAATATCACCTCTTCTCGCCCTTTTATACTACACAATTCATCATCGTCATCTTCTTATCATAATCTCCCTAACTTGGAATCTAAAGCTCCAAAATTCAACCTTTACGCCTTTACTAACAACCAAAAATGCAATCCGGCCGCTCATAAAATAAACTCAAATGCAATAGCTGACAACCATCTCCAATGGCGCCAGACCCTCCATTTCTCCCTCCTCTCCCCCTCCTCCTCCTCCCTGCTTTGCTCCTCTTCTCCCAATCCACAGCACAAACAGAGGATAAGCAGATTTTGCTTAAAATCAAGGACGAATGGGGCAATCCTCCCTCCCTCAGCTCCTGGAACTCCTCAGGTGACCACTGCAGCTGGCTGGGAATCCAATGCGCAGTAGGCGGCGGCGACGCCGTCGCCGGCATTTCCATCCCCAGCATCAACCTAACCCGACCGATCCCTTCGTCCATTTGCAACCTCCATGGTCTCACCCACCTCGACCTCTCCTTCAACAACATCCCTGGCCCCTTTCCCTCTGTTCTCTACAACTGTTCCGCTCTCCAATACCTCGACATCTCGCAAAACCTCTTCTTCGGCCAGCTCCCCGCTGATATCGATAGGATGCCGCGAAACCTTACTGACTTGATTCTGTCCGCCAACAACTTCACCGGCGACATCCCTACCTCTATTTCCCGGCTTCCGGCAATCAAAAGACTCCACCTTGATTACAATCTCTTCGATGGCATCATTCCATTGGAAATCTCGAATCTTTCGACACTCGAGTCGCTCTGGCTCGCAGCCAACCCTTTTCTTCCGACGAGCATTCCGGAGGAGTTCGGGAACTTGACCGGCCTTACCTTTCTGTGGATGGCGAAGATGAGTTTGAATGGTCGGATTCCTGAAACTCTCGGAAAGATGGAGAATTTAGAGCATTTGGACCTTGCTATGAATTCGCTCACCGGAGAGATTCCAGCGAGGATTTGGATGCTGAAGAAGATGAAAAAATTGTATTTATATGCAAACAAACTTACCGGAGGGATCAGTGAATCTATTGGGGGCGAGGGACTGGTGGAGATAGATGTTTCCACGAATAATCTCGCCGGAACGATACCGGAAGTCATTGGCCAGCTCAGGAACCTCTCCATATTATTCTTGTACTTTAATCAGTTCTCCGGTGCGATTCCGGCGAGCATTGGCAAGCTACCTAAGCTCACTGATATCCGTCTCTTCAACAATAGGTTTACAGGTATTCTACCACCTGAGTTGGGCAGATATTCAAAGCTAGCAAATTTAGAGGTGGACGACAACGTGATCGCCGGTGAACTGCCGGAGCATCTCTGCAATGGCAAGGCGCTGACTTCTCTAATCCTGTCGGACAACATGCTAATCGGAAACATACCGGAATCATTAGGTAGCTGCTACACGCTTCTTAGTCTCCATATTCAAAACAATGGCTTCTCAGGCGAATTCCCGGCCGGAATTTGGTCAGCGCCGAATCTCTCCGTCGTGATTGCGCGGCGAAACTCGCTCACCGGCTCTCTCCCGAATAAACTGCCGCGGAATCTGACGCTATTGGATATTCGAAACAATCAATTCATAGGAAAAATTCCTTCTTTGGCAGGCAACCTCAGAATGTTCAACGGCGACGGTAATAAATTTTCTGGCGAACTTCCGGCGAACTTTTCCGAAATTCCTTTCCTGCACGTTCTCTCCCTGGGCAACAATCAGATCACCGGCAAAATTCCAGCAACAATCGGATCATTAAAATTCCTCAACCAGCTTAATCTTACAGGCAACCTCCTCTCCGGTGAAATCCCAGAATCCATAGCAGCCATGCCGGTGCTCAACTCCATCGACCTCTCTGTTAACCATCTCTCAGGCCAGATTCCTCCGACCCTAGGCAGCCTCAAGCTCAATTTCCTCAACCTCTCTTACAATTTCCTCACCGGCGAGATCCCAATCGCATTACAGAATCAAGCCTACGACCAAAGCTTCCTCTCAAATCCATCTCTTTGCGCCTCCCAAACCCTCACCGAGCTCCCAACTTGCAGAGACCAATCGATCAGTCATACTAAAATCTCCATTACTCTTCTCATCCTCGGATTCTTCCTCTTCGTCGTCGTTGTCGCCCTCTCTGCCTTCTTATACAGAGAGCACTGCCGTTCTAAGAGCATCAATTACGACTCATCGGCCTGGAAGCTCACCGCATTCCACCCCGTAGACTTCAGCGAATCAGCAATCACCCGTGGGCTCACCACCAGAAACCTCATCGGAAGCGGTGGCGGTGGTATGGTATACCGCGTCTCCCTCGGCCGCAAAACGGTGGCAATCAAGAAAGTATGGAACCTCCAGAAGCTCGACGCAAAGCTCGAAAAGGAGTTCGAGGCTGAAGTGAATATCCTCGGCTCCATTCGCCACGCAAACATCGTGAAGCTCCTCTGCTGTGTTTCCGGCCCGAACTCCAAGCTACTCGTATACGAATATGTAGAGAAAGGCAGCCTCGACAGCTGGCTCCACCGCCGGCAACGCGATCACTACCGGCGGCCGTCTCTGAGTTGGCCAAAGAGACTGAAAATAGCCGCTGGAGTGGCAAAGGGACTCTGCTACATGCACCATGACTGTTTTCCGGCGGTGATCCACCGCGACGTGAAGTCAAGCAACATACTGCTCGACCACGAATTTCAGGCCAAGATTGCTGATTTTGGGCTTGCCCGGATTCTAGCGAGGGGAGGCGAGCCGGAGACGGCGTCGGTGGTGGCGGGATCATTCGGGTATATGGCTCCGGAGTATGCGGCGATGAGGAAGGTGAACGAGAAGGTGGATGTGTACAGCTTCGGGGTAGTGTTGCTAGAGCTGGCGACGGGGAGGGAGGCAGGGGACGGAGGGGATGACGAAGAGGGGAACCTTGCGGATTGGGCATGGCGGCGGTATAGGGATAGAGGTGGGGAGATGGGGAAGATGGTGGATGAGGAGGTAGTGAGTGGGTCGCCTGAGTTTAGGGAGGAGGCGGAGGTGGTGTTTATGTTGGGGATAATGTGCACGGGGCGGGAGCCGGCGGGTAGACCGACGATGAAGGAAATATTGCAGGTGTTGACGAAGCTGGAGCGCGGCCGCGGTGGGGTTGGTGAAAAGTGTGATGGTGGGGAACTGATAAATGGGAAGAGGAGGTTCTCCAAGCTTGCGGAAGAGAGAAAAGATAGTGAGTTAGGCTTTTGTGTCTTCTAAAATTGTTTCTTAGATCGATTCAGCTTTATTTTTCTTTGTCCACTTCTGGAGAGTTTTCAAGTTTTTGTCACTTTTGTTCTCTGTTTTTTTGGCTGGATTCGAATATGTAGTAGGATCTTAGTATCTTTTATGAGTAACATTGGATCACATAGCTCAGTTTGATTTGTTAGTTGGGAGCTTAAATTTTTATCTAAAAAGTTTTGGATTCAAGTTTTTGTGCTTGTGTTATGTGTAAGAGTTTATAATCAGATCTTTGACCACCATCACTCAACTAAGATCTCCTGAACATCGTTGCCTAAACTACGATCCTCTGTCCTTCATCCTACTACGACCTCTGATCACAATCACCTATATAAGGTTCTCCAACCAATATTACATAACTATAACTCTTTAATCATTATCACATGACTACACCAATACCTTATTATGTTGTCCATCTTCAACGCTAATACAAGCCATTGATATCAACTCTGACTCTCAACATCAACCACACGACATATGTGAAAAGCCTAATTATGATTATGGCTGATAGTTAACAATAGCAGGGCATACGATGGGCAAGGCTAGTATTGGCTGATTACATCAGCAGAAGTGAACAACAATAAGAGCGACATCAACTTGTGGTTCTTTAAGAATTCAGCCAAAAATATGAGAGTTTTAAATATATCAACAATAAAGTTAAAATTTACCAAAACTTTACTTTGCATTTTTTTTCAGAAAAACAAACACTAAAATTCTTAAAACTTTTTAATTTTAAAATACTTAAAACTTACTTTTCATCAATCGCATAACCCAAAAAAAAAAAAAACAAATAATTGTTAGAAGGTTGCTCTTATGCCATAATACTCATTCAACTACCACGCATAATTGTTATATATACTTCATTTCTATTATATTGTATCAACATTTTTCTCAATCACAAGGATATTATTTCTAACAGATAATAAATATTAATAAAATTATTTCAAATGAACAAAAACCACGTGAATCTTTCTTTCTTGAATTCTTCAAATAAAATTTTTGATATCTATTACAAGCAAATTTTATCAGTGTTTGCGCTTATCTTTGTAAATGCTAAGAAATTAAACCTTCTTGCTGCCACGATTTTTCTAATACACAAAAAATTATATTAATCAGATTAGTATACTGCAATTATCAATAACAACTAAAATTACAATTAAGATTTTTTTTTGGGTTTACAAATTTTTACTAAATTTTTTTTATTAAAAAACTATTTAAAAAAATAATAAAAAAACTGTCACAAACAAAGTCAAAATCCTAAGTAGACATCATGTTCACGGCAAATTATTGCATCCGATCACCTGACAGAGAGATCCGAGAGATCCGAACGGATCTCTCTCTGTCTACAGTAAAGCACAGTACTGTAGCAGCTGCTGCTACAGTACCTGCGCTTTTACTGTAGACAGAGAGAGATCTCTCTGTCAGGTGACGGGATGCAATAATTTGCCCATGTTCACAGACGATAATTCTCAAGACTTCATATTTCAGTAAAAAATAGTCAAAAGAAATTGTATATTATATTATTTAAGCTATCCGAAAATCTAAAATGAAAACTTTAATACTTATCAATTGTGCTATCGACTGTGCTATCGAGTAAACATTAAACAGTTCATGACCATATACACTGACACAAAGGCTAGGTAACCATATCTTTCAGAAAATATTTTAAGCACTATAATTCACCAGTAAATGTAAACCAAAATGCAAAATTTAAAAACAGAAATAAACTCCTGCAAGCAGTTACAGACAATTCGAAACATAAAATAAGAAAAATAAAAATTTACGATGAATATAATTGACGATTCTAATGACATGGAAAGTTCCAGAATGAACCTCAACTAATAAAAAAGGCTTTCAATGTTGTAGGAATTTTTATTTGATTAAAGGACCTGATAACAATGTTATGTATATCTTACTACAATTAACAAATGATACAAAGTGTTACTCAGAGCCCATTCTACTCTACCTGGGACTGATTAGATTCACAATCAATCAATCTCCAGGCCAAATCTCCATTAACAAGTGATATGGAAGCTTTTGGCCATGCCAATTCAACCCGTCAGCATGTAAAGGAATCTAACTATTCTATGTGAGCTTTGGGGCTGCAACCAATTCCATGAATATTTCGCCATTAAAAAGAAAAGAAAAGAAAAGATAGCGTCACTTACGTGATAATTTCCATCTTACTTCACCTGGCGAAAAGTATAGGACTCGTTTTTATAGGAGTTTTCTCACTTTTGCAACATCATCAAGTCCGAGTGAAAAAATCATCCACTGCAAGATTAGCATCCCCGTGTGCAACAGCATCTTCTGGTTCTGGCATGTAAAGAGTAGAGGAGGAGGCCTGAAAAGGTCAACAATAACATCAAATTTTTATCCTATCATATGGAATCGGCTACATAAATTATTTTTCTTCATTGTATGCTGTTAAGAGTTAAATTCTCATTTAAATCTAATAAAGAAAGGTCATTCCTAATATTTTCTAACTATGTCTTTTTAGGTCTATTTATATCTTTCTTAACATAAGTCAAATCTAATACATCTAATTTTCTATCCGGGTTCATAGGAAGGCTGCCTCTAAAAATCAACCGAAGAAAAAAAAAAAAACAGTAACGAATGAATAATACTCTGAAAGAACAAAAATATTCAATTAAAACTTCATAAAGATTAAAACCCGGTATGAGATACTTCGGATTATTTTTTTAACTTCTCAGAATCCAAAAAGTTTCATAAAAATTTCACAAGAGACGTGTTACTTAGCTGTAAAGTGGACGCATTACTCGATGGAAAGTTTATAAGCGAGAATGATCACTAACAAAACATTAAAAATCTAAAAAAAAAAAAAATCATGGATAAGCAAAGAGTTTAAGACCGTCATGGCAGCTGTTATTGAGCAAATGGTTTATAATGTTCATTTCCAAATAAAAAATAGGTACTTGATTTATTTTGCAACTACCTTCTGTCAACCTTATGTTTACTTAAGTTAAAAAGTGCAAACAATTAAACTCTGCTCTGCACATTTCTCGGTTTGGTTTTTAAGTTAACAGTAAAAAATTATTTGCCTGACTATGAAATCAAGTAGGGATTTTCCATTCAAAACCCATATCGGTCTCAATCCATGAGGGGTGTCGAAGTCCAAGAACAATAATCAGATTCTTGGATGGGTTCAGGTTAACCCGCTTGGCACATAATCCTAAAACCCATACAAAGTATATTTAAATCCTACAAACAGTCCGAAAAAAAGGAGCAGTTTGATAGGAAGGTTTCATTTGTGACGGCTTTCTTACTGCTTCTTAAAACAGTTTTTTAATATAAAAATTAAAATTTTTGTACTACAAAGCTGCTTTAAGAAGCAGTAAGAAAGCTTTCCCAAACCAACCGAAGTTGTGGTCATAAACTGAAACAAAATATGAGATTAAAAGATCCCATGCAGGATTGATCAGATAGGAATAACTGAGCAAACCTTAGTATCCACTTGCAGTTCGGCGTTGTTTTCAGCAACAAGAACTGCACCGTGTGCCTTCAACCACTCTTCACACTCCTCAAGTCCATTTGCACCGTTTTCATCATCAAAACCTGTTTGTGCTGAAGTTGAGAAGCCCAACACATGTGCTATATATGAAACGGGCACAGTTGGTCTGTATGATTTTGAAATGCATTTCATAGCTTCAAACCTCATCTTTTCTACATGGAGATCTAGAGTGCAAAGAACTAAAATAAGTTCAAAACTAATTTAAAGAAATATTAAAAGAGCAATTCTTAAGTACATGTACCCATAAGGCTGGTAATCAAACTTGAAGCTGCCCTGTATAATCTGAAAAACAGCACATAATTTCCAGATGAAACAGCAGAGTGCACAGCAAGAGCATGCTTTACAGCTTCATCCTGTTTTGCCTCAATTGACAAACTGAGAGCAAACACCCAGACATGAGAATGAATAAATTCTTACGATAAGCACAATCTATAGGGTTATAAAAAAGTAGTTTTTAACCATGGGCAAGTTCCAAATGCCATTTGGAGGAAACTTAGGATTTGTTTGGGAAGGCTTTCTTACTGCTTCTTAAGGTAGCTTTCTAGTACAAAAATTTTAATTTTTGTACTATAAAGTTATTTTAGGAAGCAGTAAGAATGCCGTCCCAAACGAAGCCTTAGTAGGGAGGATTGGTAGGCTTGGGGACAAGGATTGGTCCAAGGGGTGATCTAGACAACTTCATGTCCCCACCACCTCTGCCCATGCCGGGAACCACCTAACGTAAAGAGATTGGAACCCGAAGCCCTGCATCTTAATGGCACTCAAGAACTGTAGAGCCAAATCCAACTTTCCAAAAATTAAATTTTAATATACCAATTTCAAGGATAATGTCAACTTGAAGTATCCTGGGAATGCTATTTAAGGAATGTCATGCGCGTAGACTGATAGGTAAAACAAATATGCAGGTAGTTTCCAGTACCTTTTCATTGATGATAAAAGATCTCTTTTATTATTAGAGTGTAAAATTACACAAAGTAGATTATAAGCTGAAAACTCCATCTGACATCCTTTGATTCCATCAGCATAAAGTCTTTTCAGCTGAGACTGGCACTGCAAAACAAATATATGTAACAAAAATAGGTAAATAATGAAATCATGAAAATCTTCAACTGCACTGGATATTTGAATTAAATTTACCAACTTAGTGAACTTCTAAACTAAAGGAACTTTCACAAAACAGCAGTAAAATTTCATGTTAATTTTACTTTGATGATCAGAAAATGTTAAAAAAATCATAGAATATTGCCTTGGATCCAGTTGGACCTAATCATCAAAAGAAGCTTCTCTTTATTGATATAACATTCTTCAAAGGATAATAACCTTTGAAGTATTACAACAGAAGCAGCTTCTCGGTATTCTGATCACATCCTTCAAGGGAAAATATCCTTGGCATTTTCAACTCGAGGGAACAACAGGCAATGAACTAGCTCAAATTACAAATAGAAGAACCAAACTGATATTATAAACCTCGGTATAAGAAGTGTATTGGCGAACCTTGAATGAAGAGCTGGGAGTCAAAACATCCAGACAGTTCTAAAGGATTTGACTTGCCTCTAAGATGAACTAATGTAAATTAGATTGATGAATCATCAGCTCGTTAGTAAAAACAGAAAACAGAGGAAGGGACAGTTATAGAGAAGTGGCCAACAAAAAAAGGATGGCATTGCCAGTGGAGCAATGGATAATCTAGAAATCTCAAACAGGAGAGAAGGAATGGAAAAAGTAAAAAGAGCAGGAAGAAGGGAGCATGAAATTGGCAGTAGATATGGATGAGGGCAATGGACACAAGTGAAGAGTAGGTTTTGGAGGCATACTTTTCAATGGCACAAAATAGCGCACACCATAGCTACGGCACCACATGGTGCGCCGCACATGTTCAAGTTGGCGCGCCATTTGCGTCATGTGTGCGCAATGGCACACGACACGCGCAATTTGAATTTAAGGATTTTTTCATATAATTATAAATAGTTTTTAATATTAATATATTTTAATTTCTAAAACTACGTAATAATTAATTTAAAATAATTTAATATGATTAAAATAGTTTAGTTATGTTTTATAAAACTTTATTTAGACTTTATTTTAATAGAAATTTTGGACAAACATGATGCTCACTTTAATGGTTTAGACTTTGGACCACAAACATATTCAACTAAGTCTTACCCAAATTGATTGATACTCTAAAATAGGATCCATATAATAATTTTTATAATTATTTTTTTTATTTTGCGCCATGTACAAAATGGCGCACGCCACGCCATGCACTATGCGTCATGACTCCACGGAGAACTTTACGCTGTGGTGTGCCATTTCCTATTGACAAGTATGGTTGGAGGAAGGGAAGATTGAATCATCAAAGCAACAAACAGGAAAGGGAAAAAAAATTCATATGTTTATTGAAGAGAGGAGAGAGAGAGATAGGGAGTTTTCAACAGGCTCAACAATGGACACTTATTGAAAGAGAAAAAGGCCTCGGGTTTTTTTCCTGAATTATATCCAATTTCCTTAAGATTAAAAAAAATACTGATATCTCTCCTTCCTTAAAATAAAAAAAATCCAAGTCATCAAGCATACGAGCTAATCCATGCTGAGATCAATTTTTGCTATCAATACATAATTAGTTTTTTCAAATGCTCGGCTTGAACTAGCTCAGATCCTCACATCCTAAGAAGCTAGTACCAGTTATTTTATCGTCTTTCAATGTTAGCCAAAGCATAATGCCCAAACAGGGATGTTCTAACGCATCACTATGATAATGGTCATTGGCATAATAGAAAATCAGCTATAGTACGATATTTAAAAAAAAAACAAATTAAATCAAACAGATACAGGATTAACAAGGACCAGCACATTGGGCATAATATGCAGAAATGAAGGGCTATATTCACAATATAAATAGATTTACGAGAAAAAAACCAACTAAAATTGACATAGATGTAAAGTCACATCCTAATCACTAACCTCCTAAACCCATGCATTTTGTCAATACCTTTCACAATGGCTAATTCTTTATTAAAACTAAAATTATTATAATGGTATACCTAATGGCAAACGCTAAATTATATGACAAATTAAAGTTGAATAATTGATAAATGACATCAAGTTTGCTAAGTGTTTCACCTTTAGCTATGCAAAACTTCTAATCATATTAGCAGAGGATACCAATAGGTAATTAGGAGACATTTTACAATGCGGGAGACTTGGAACTGCTTCTTACGTTTCAACTTGGTGGAGATGGAAGGACTTGAAATACACACTATTCAAGAAACAAGATAACATAGAATTTGAACAACTCTTCTTTAGTAGAATTAGAAGTTCCTCGCTAACTACTAGGGTGAACAACGATTACCTAAAAAAAAAAAAAAATACTAGAAACTGATAAATACCCGAACATTCTTTATGAGTGCAAAACCTTTTTTGTCAAAAAGTGCAAACATGCAATAGGCACTTCTGCAGCTTCCAATTAACCAGATATCTAGATGATGACCAATATAAGATAAAAGTATTATCCTGCACGTCATGCCAATTGGTCCTAGCCTACACTTGGATGGCTTGTTAAAAGTGATGAGATACACATTCACATAAGATCATTTGACACAATTCCAAAGACTTGCAAGATATCAATAACACGATCTGAATCATATGGGCGTAACTAATGCAAAAGACTCCCACTATTGTGAACTTTGGTGAAATTTTGATGAATACAACCTTACCTCTACGTCGTAGAAAAGTTGTTTTCTTCCGTCTCATGAGCAGGCTACATATTGCTACATTTGAAGCAAAAATCAATGCTTGGCAAAATCATCTAGTCTCGAACCATAGCATCTACTCTATCAACCTTATCCCAACTATTTGGGGTAGAGTTAAAGAGTCCTCATTCTTTGTTTGTTTCAATTGAATGTTGCATCAAATGTTAAACTCATTCTATAAACAGGTTTCTGCACAAATAATAAATCCATGCTATCTTTAGTCTACCCATTTTCCTTCATAATTCTTCAAGACTGCTTGTATCTAACATCTTTAAGCATTTTTTACTCTTTGATGTACATGTCCAAAATATCAAAATATATTATCTTTAATCGATGATACTCTTACCATCCCTTCTAATAAAGTCATTGCTTAATTATTCTTCTTAGTTTTGATGCATCCATATGAATATTCTCGTTTCTACCATGCTAAACTTGACTATTAGTGACTTTTTACTACAGAACACTAGGAATCATATGTCATAGATGGTCTGATTATCGTGATAAATTTATGTCTTCGTGAAATTATATTATCATGTAATACTACTCATAAAGCACTTTTTTGTTTTAATCATGAAATCTTATCTGTAACATTAGATATTCTAATCCATATGTAGGGGCGGAATCAGCCTCTCTATTAAAGGTGGGCAAATTTATTACATAAATAATTAAATATAAAAAGCAAAAATATATATAAGACAAAATTCAAAGCAAAGTCTTGTATTTTATTATGATTGAAGAATTATATAATGATTATAAACTTTGAATCTCATTTTCTTTTTACTTTATAATGTTGCAATACAATTTTATCGGAATCAAGTCAAATGCGTCTTCCTTAATGTACGATATTAGCTGATCATTGAGTCAGTCATTGCTCCTACACATTCTTTATCTTTAAATATTGATCCATTTACTAACATTAAAAAAAAGGATATATGAACTATGATGATAAATTAAAAGCTTCAAATTCTAAACTTTTGTAATTTAATTTCATTTCAACCACTACCCTTCAAATCAAACAAAGCCTAAGAATATAGAAATCAAACTACTATTTCTAATCTTTAAAGGGCAAACTAAACTTTTGGGATATTTGCATAAACATGAAAAATAGTACATCTTAGGCACTTAACAATGAAAAAGGTTAGCGTTAGACCGGTCCAGCCGGCCCACATAGGACCAGCTTAGGCGGAAAAGAGGTGGAGCCTTCCGCTTCCCTGTCGCGCCGTTCAAGCCGCCGGGTCCAAGGGAGCACTTTAAGAAGTTTTTTTTAGGGAGTTAGGAGGGAATTTTGAATGTAGGGACTGTTTAGATATTTTCTTTTGGATTGTATGCATTAAATAGTTTGTTCTCCTAGGGTTAAGGCATCTTGAATTTGGGCTGAAATTTGAGATAACTTAGGTTTAGATTTTTTAGCTCTAGCGGCGTCTAGAGATTTGGGAGAGATAGATCATCCTCTAGAATAGAGGATTAATTGTATCTTGGTATTTTCTTTCCGTTATATTTGATTTCTTGCAATAAAATTTATTTTTTTACTGTTTTCTATTGAAGTTGTGGACTGTTTTTATTGTCTTTACCAATAGTGTTAGGTTTTACTTAAAATCTTCAAGTATTTCCTAACAGTTTAGAATAAAAAAAAAAATAAATATACAATGAGATAAAAAAAAAGAAATTCATAAATAAATTAATAAATGTGATTCTATATTAACAATTAAATATAAAAGATCCAAGCAAGAAAAGTAAACAAGCTATAAAAACAAAATGGAGAATTCAAGTTGGATGGTTGAAGTGGGGGAATACATCGGGCTTATTGTGTGATAGAAAAGCCCCCCTCAAACTTACGGGAAAATTCTATAAGATGGTGGTTAGACCTGCAATGCTTTATGGTGCATAATGTTGGCCATTAAAAGATAAGCATAATATTAAGTGTTGTAGAGATGAGGATGCTAAGGTGATGAGTGGCTTTACTCTTAGAGACAAGATACGAAATGAGCATATAAGTGAAAAGGTTAGAATAGCTCCAGTAGAAGATAAGATTAGAGGGAGTCACCTTAGATGGTTTGGTCACATAAAACGGCGGCCTTCCGATGACCCAGTTAGGAAAATAGATGTATTAGATTTGACTTGTGTTAAGAAAGGTAGAGGAAGACCTAAAAAGACTTGGTTATAAAATATTAGAAATAACCTTTCTTTATTAGATTTAAATGAGAATTTAACTTTTAATAGGACACAACACAATAGAGAAAAAGAATTCATGTAGCTGACCCCACATACTAGGATAAAGGCTTGATGTTGTTGTTGTTATATAAAAACAAATAGTATGAGGCAAATTTCCAACTACAAGCATTAGACAATTCCTCAAAGCACATAATTAAAAAAAAAAAAAAATCTTCTCATCTATTAAATTATAGAACCTACCTGACACACCAATTCTTGAATAAATCATCCCAAGCAACAAATGTGAAAACAAGCAAAGAGGTAGAGAGATATATGAGAGAAAAAATGGGATGCATTCAACTCAAAACAAAATAATCAAACTAACAAAAATAACCATCTCATCATATCAAAGAAGCACAATGTAGAACCACTGTACGAGAATATGACAAGCTCCACAATCAAATTCCAAACCGACAACTGCTCCAGCCAAGATCAAAGTCCCCAAAACATTTTGGAAAAAAAAGAGGGAAAGTTTTTTTAGAGGGGCTAAATTATGAAATTGTCATCTCTTAAAACTTCAAATTAATCTTGAGAGTGGGCAATTGCCCACCCTCGACTATATTGAGTTCCTCCCATGTCCATATAACTATTATTCTATATAATAGATTCATGATGCTTAAACTTATCACACCTAACCTAAGTATTCATTGTTCTACTAATTTGAAGTCCTTTATCTTATAAACATATTATCTGTTATGCTAATTTTTCACTTATTTCAATAGTTGTCTCACCTATTAGACATATACAATAAAAATGCCACAATGAAACCAACTTTAATGTACTTTATAACCATTTTTATAACCAATACATATAGAGATAGACTCAGTGTTAATCCATGATGTAATCCTGCCGTAATTAGAAACTCTTGATCTCTCCAAAACTACTTCTAACACTATTTAATGACCCATTATACATAGTTTTAATAACTTCAAAACGCCTTTGGCACATATATCTTTCTTTATGCTCAACAAATCAATTATCAAATAATTCAATCATACCATACATTATTAAAAGCTTAAATGATATTAGCATTGCACTTTTTAGACAACTTGATGGACTTGCATATTGTTTTATCATTGGAATGAAAACCAAGAAGCAATGACGGACCTGGTTAAACTCTGGCAGATCCCCAGCTTCTAAAGCCAACCGTCCATGGGTTTCATACACCTATAGAAAAAGGAAAAAAAATTGCACTTTTCGGAGTTTCAAAAATAAAAAAGCTTCAATAGCATTATCACTTGAAAAATATGGATGTACGAGTGGAAATTTTTTTGAGAACCTTGACAGTTAGCTCATTTTGTATCCTTTGTACAGTTAAATCCTGACGTATGGACTTAAGTTGATCACATTTGTAAAGGTAATTCTTCTGACAAGTCAGAACCATATGCAGAGCTCTCTCCAAGACTTCTTCAGGTCTAACCTGCATGGCAGGGATTGCCTCACACAATTGAATACAAATTTTAAACATAATTTTATGAAACTATAAGAGCTCTGCAATTAAACTTCTTAATTGGAATCAAATACTCTAAAAATTATAATTATGAACACTAAAATTAAAACTATAAAAAAATAAAACAATACAGTTGCAGGATCAGGAGCCGACGTAAGACGCAGATAACGTTTTTCTACATCCTGGCAGGTTCCTTTAACTGTAAGTGCATCCCAATAGATATCTTCAACTGCTCTACATTGATCATCCGAATTTTTGGCAAGCAGCAAAGCATTGGCTCTTCTTAAATATAAACTTCCAACTCCAGCACCTTTTGGCTTGAATTGCTTGACATCTGCCTGCTTTTCCTGTCCCTTCTCAAATCGCTTGGATCGATGTTCACGCCGTTTCCTTTCTTCAGGTGAATTTTCTAGAGTGATTGCACTGGAATAATGTTTAGTCAACTCCTGCTCCTTATCACTATCACTTGAAGAATTTCCATTCTCAGTTATATCCAATGTGTCAGAAAAACGTGACTTCTTCAATGGCCTCTGAGGGGTTTTGCTTAGAAGAGATTGTAGAGGATACTTCATGCTATTCCGTCCATCATCCATAGCATTAAGGATTTGGCTCCCAGCCTAAGAAGAATAAACAAGAATATTCAAGGCAATCGTAAACATGTAAAACTACAAATGCTAACTCCAATCCTCAAAAACACACAAGGTATTTCATAATGGAAAAAATCTACAAGTGTCATTCAATATATTTGAATGCTAATGAGCCACATAACCAATGAGGCATTGAAAATAAACAACAATATGCAAGGAGTTGCAGTTACAACAACGCAAATAACCTAAGCGTAGTAAATCCCAAATAGAACAAAACACTAACCATCCTTTCAGCCCAGCTAACAGTTTTTGTTGAGTCATTATTGAATGGTGCATCTTTAAGATCCAGTCTTTCCTCAGCAACAGGCTCCCAACGACTTTTACTGCGTCTGCTAGAAAATTTTGGCATAGATGGCATTGTACTTTGTAAAATGCTGTGAAGAGAGATCTTTTATCAGATATGGCAACTCTTTGACAAGCAACAGTAAAAGAACTAAAGATGTTCATGAAATTATAAAAAAAGTTTAAAAAATAATCTTTTTTCTTTTTCAAAAAGAGGTAAAATATACAAGTGATGTATTAGCGCCTATTTCAGCTACTGGCATGGATGTTACGTCTTTTCCACAAGATATGGACTTTTGTAGTTAAAGCAAATTACAAACCAAAGTTTTCAGTGCAAAAGATGAACAACTCTTGTTATGCAAGCATATAGAGTATGACAAATGGTTAAAGAAACAACAAGGAGGCATTGTCCAACTTACTATTCTCCATCGACAATAGGCACAAAACAGATTCTGACTTCAGAACGACCTCCTGAAAAGGCGTTCCATATATAGCCATTTCAAATATGCCTCGTAGTAGAGCAACCATCTTAACTGAGGTACCTTTTCTAATTTATACGGCAAAAAACCACAAAGGCCGATTTACCATTTTTTGTTTCTACCTCTACAGAAAAAGAACGAGCAGCCCATAATGGTGCATTTTGATTCTTGTCAATAACAATAAAAATACTTTCTCTAGACTGTTCATTGCTAAGCTATGATGCACCGACACGGACACGTCGACATGGACACGACACGTCACGGACACGGGACACGGCATTTTTTGAAAATATAGGACACGGGTGCGGCGTGGACACGGCATAATAATTTTTTTAATATAATATATAGTAATTAAGGTGACATTATATTAAAAATGACAAACAATAATAAAACAATTTCATGATAACTAGGTACTGAGCTTGTACCTAGTGGTACCGAGCTTGCACTAAGCGGTACCTAGAGATACCTAGCGGTACTGAGCATGTACCTAGCGATACCGAGCATGTAACTAGCGATACCTAGCAGATATTATAAACCCTTACCCACAAGAACAATTTTTTTTTTTGTAATTGTTTCTATTATTGCTTAGTTGATCTTATTTCTAACAGTTCGCAAAGGTAAATTGCAAAGTAATTTTTGAATCTTTCTTTTAATCCAAGTTATCAAGATTCTATCTTAATATTAAAACAGCTAAACTCTTGTGGTGATGCTTACACTTCATGTGATATTTAATACATTTATATTTAAACTATGCTATTTATTTATATTTAAATTTTGATTCTTTCTTTTAGTCATCAGCAAGTGACTCTTGGAAAGCAGTGCTCAGATGAAAGTTGATTCCTTACCGCCAAACTCCTAAATATTTTACATACATTTTATAACCCACACCCTAGCTTTCAACGGTAAGCTAATCGACAATGGTAAATGAGTAGACTAAATCAAGATGACTTCATAAGCCAGAATACTAGTAATAAAGAAATACAATAATATCTCATAGGAAAATTAAAATAATTGATCCAGGAGATTCTGAAGAAAACTTAAAAGTTTAATCTCAAATAAATAGATTTGCAAGAAAATTGAGAAATTGTCATTTAAATTTGAAAAATAGGAAGGTGCGAGCAAAATAAGATAACGAGAGAAATTTATGCCAATGGAATCAGCAAAACAATTCTAAAATCGCTTCACAAGATCATCCTCCCTAATTTTAAGAAGTGCAATACCTTTTAAGGAGAGAATTTAGAACTGCTAGCCATTTTTAAAAGATGACTAACCAAAATATGAAGGATATAATAAATTTAGGATAAGAAATCATAAATTAATGAACTTGAAATTATAGATGGAAATTGATTAGATTCTACTTTTATATCATTAAGACTCTGCCATAAGATATAAAAATTAAAATTGGAGCAATTGATTTACTTTCCTCAATCTCTCTACCCCCCCCCCCTCTCTCTCTCTCTCTCTCTCTCTCTATGTGTGCCATCATCAAACCCTAAGGCACGAGTTCTGAGGAGAAGCTGATAGCCTATTCTCCCTCTCCTGCCAAGAAGATTAGGAGAATGAATCTAATCAACTCAAAACCTCCACATAACCCCATCTCCTTGTCCTAAATAATTCATACAAATTCCATATAATCCTTGTACACTCCAATTCTGAATCCTATTTCACTATCAAAGCATTCATTCCAATCATAGGACTTCATTATGATTCATGTTAGATTAAGGGAAAACCTAGAGTGTTCTAGAGAGAGAAAAACCCATGCATGGTATGGGAGCCATAAATCAAATGCATGTTAGGATTATAAGTTTTGAAAATTTTAAAGAGACCAACCAAAAACTCAAATCTACTGACAAAACTCATGGCCACCATTAAAGCTCTCCCTAAACCATGGGATGCATCATTAGTGCAGTCACCATTAATTCAACCAAATCATGTAGAAGAAAAAATAAGTCAAAAAAGAGAATGAGGAAGAAAAAAATCAACAATAACTTTTTGTTGATCTACCTTACGAGAAAATGACCAAATTGGTCCCCTAACTTTTTCTGGAGGACCAAAGTAGTCATTGAAAAGTACCAATTTGGTCTCTTGACTCTTTAAATAGGGATCAAATTAGTCCTTTTGTGGGATCATTTAGGTCTTTATTTAAAAATTCAAGGGACTAAAATGAGAATTTTAAATAGTCGATGACTATTTTGGCCATCTGTAAAGAGTCGGTGGAATATTTTGGCCCTTATTGGTGAATCTTCTACCCTACATAGTATAGGCTATTTTCTTATACATTGTCTTCAATAAATGCTACTTGAATTGTCTCTCAAATTTAATTTTTTTTCTAAATATTCTTCTTCTTTTAATTCTCAACCATTTTAGAATTCTTAGTGGTTCATAAGATGACTATCAATGATCTATTTATACCCCAATACTCATATCAATATAACATAAGCCAATTTTGCTTATAATTTTGCCTTCAAGTATTGATGATATTATCTTATAGCACAGCAGTCCTAAATAGTTTGACCATTAAAAAACATCAATAATTCTAAAAGTTATATACAATTTATATCATATTCTTCTATATAATTAAAGTTGTTAAAATAATTAAAATCACTTGAAAATTGACTCCCTATGAAAACGAGTTGAGTCAATTTCAACTCTATTTGAGCTCTACTATGGACTAAATTGATTTTGTGTCTATGTTAAGTTTGATTCTTCACACTCAAATATTATAGTTTTTTTTTAGTTAGTTTGAGTTTACTTGGAAGGTGTATACATGTATAATGTATTAAATATATAATAGAATACATGTATAATCATATAATAGAATGTGTATAATTATGTAAAAAATTAAATAAAAAACAACTTCGAGTTAACTCAAAATTGAACACAAGTCAAATTCGCTCGAACCAAATTAATTTTAAGCTTGAATTGAGTAGAACCAAAATTAATAATTTCACGTCAAGCCAAATCCAACTCAATATCAGTTCTATGCATAATAGATCCAAGATAATTAATCTCTCACATTTAACTTCATATTTCGACATAATGATATATCATTATTAGTTTTACTCCCATCAAAATTTTATATCATAATAGTCCTTATTCTGCTAATGTTAAGCCCTTTATCTTCAAAAGTTTTAACTTTGATGTTATAACTTCTACGTATTTTAACAAAATCTCACATATCTAAATTATTTCATATATAGCATAATTTTAATATGCTTTATAAACATATCCATAAACAATAAAAGAGAAGCAACTTAAGCACATCCTTGATGTTTGTTGGGAACTCTTTTATGTCTATATAATAATTCTTTATGATAGTCAATGTTTATATAATAATTTCAGCAATCCTTTGCACGAAACTTCAAAGCTTAATACTCACCAAATCATTTCTTGTGATACTTATCATATTAGCATAGAATTCAGCAGGGTCCTTTTTCATAATTAATTAATTAATTATTAAAGGGCTTAGTTTCTTTTCTTCCTTTCATATAGAAGTATTTATTGAATGAGGGGTGCATAGGTGCTATATGAAGTTATTTGTCCATTAATATCCCAATCCCATAAGAAAAAATGGGAGTATTTGAGAGTTTATTTCAAGTTATTATGAAGTTGGGAAAGGTATTTCCCTTTTTTTTTTGGGTGGATTCCACCAAGTTTGGAGAGGTGAGAAAGGTAAGAGATCATAGTCAAGTCTGCGTTTGTGCCATAATCAATCACCCAAAGCTTCTAATATTTTCTCATCTTTTTTGACCATGCCATAGCAATTCAAATGGTTGTCTACTAATATTCTATAGTTGAAAATTCAATTCCAACAATGATAAAAAAATCATTCCAGATGATCAATGGTCATAGTGGAGTCCAAGACTACGCCAAAATTGATCCCAACACTCATAAGCCATCTCTCTATGACTATATAAGGCAAATAGCTGCACAATTCCAATAGCCGAAAATTTGTAAGGGGGCAGTTTTCCTTCAGTAAATAGAGAAAAGGCCTTTGTTCTTTTGCCTACGCCTGGACAAATCAGTAACTGTCGACTTGGTGAGGTTCTCATATCCCAATTCTTGATAGATTCTTCAAGTCTTGGTGACTTGGGAAGGTAAAATAGGGAGGGTATTCTGTCATTTCAAAAAGCTCCGAAATCCACTATATGTGGATAGAATTTCAGCCTTCTTTGAAAACAAATGCAGTCATTGTAATGAGAATATGGGAGGTTCTAGAAAGTAGGGGTGTCAATAAATGACCCGACCTACAAATCCGAATAAAAAATTTTGGGTTCAGATTGACTCGATTAATAAACAAGTAGAGCTCGTTGTATTTTTCAAACCATTTATTAAATTGGTCATGTTCGGGTTGACCCACGAACCTACTTTTGAATCGAAAATTACCCGTTTAATATCTTTTTTCTTAAAAATTTTTTACTAGTGGGTATGGTCTTCTTATTTTTTTATCAAATATTCAAAATTTTAAAATCAATAAGTTATAAAAAAAAAATTAACCAAAATGGGTTAATTCAGGTTGGTCTTTTTGACCCATTTATTAAACGGGTCATGTTTGATTTAATTGGATTCGGTTCGAGTCAATTTCAGTTCATACCTGAACCCAACTTGTCAACCCATTTTTACACGTCTACCTGAAAGTCGTGGTAGTGGATGAATTTGCCAAAATATGAAAGACTGCAGCTATCTCTGGCACAAAACTCATTTCTTGGTGTAGAATTCTTCACACATACACATGAATCCATTGGGAAATAGCCGTCTTACAAAACCTTGCAATACTTGTTTCCTTCTAGATTTCCCATCATTAAAAAGTAGTTTCATAGAGTTCTTATAGTTGTCTAATCTTGTAAGGGCCTAGTCCTTCGTTCTTTCACAGCCTATTTGCATTGCATGTACTTTTCAAGATCATCAAAAATCATATGAAGACCATCCCTTATTCTCTATAAACCAATTAATTCTATTGTACTAATGTTTTTTTTCCAAGCCTACAATCCAATGCCCTCTCCCATAACTTCATTGTATATCTTATAAACTTGATTCTATTATAGTTATCACCTCTTGAGCATCCACATTGTTCTTAAATACTAGTTCAAAAACGGCTCTTCTATAATCATCTAAAATCCACTTAATATTCAAGATTTTATTTGTAAGATACCAATTGTTGAAAATTAAATTATAAAACCAATTTAAAAACATTTTATAGATAATCATTATATGTATGGATATCATTAATATAAATGCATGAGGCATTATATAACATGTAAATCTAATTTAAAAATAATACTAATTAAAATTATATAGGCAAATATGAAACACAATCATTTTGAGCTATACTACGGGTGTAAACAAGTTGAATCGAGTATCTAGCTAATCGAGCTAAGCATGTTTAGCTGTTACTAATATGAGCTCGAACTCGTGGCTCGATAAGCTTGACTCGTGAGCTCATTAACAAGTCGTGCTGGAGCCGGCTGGACTTACTTACACCCCTGAGCCATACATATTAAAATCAAAATCTATATTGAGAATGTCAAATTACACTTTAAAAATAATTGTAACCCAAACTATTATAATAACTTTTATATAAGCATGTACATATGTGTGCATGAGCATCTTCTCACTAACTGTGTTATAGTATGATAAATAAATATCACATGACTTTATCAACAATATCACTTTTTTCCCAAATAATGAATAATGCTCTCATCAAAATACATTTTGTAATATAAAACGTACAATCAATGCCCATATTCTTTGAAATTTTTTTTCATTAATTGATGATAAAAAAGTAAACAAATAGTACATCTTAAGGATCTTAAAAGGGTTTTAAATTGAATAAAGCAAGCACCAATATTGAATCAACCACGAACAAATGGTGAACAATCCATAAAAGTGAATGAAAAATAGTTCATGCAAGATAGTCAGATTATGACAATTATGCTCACTCATGTAACCTAACACAATACTTCATTTTTTTAATAGTTTAGATCGTAAAGAGAAGAACTATATGAGTCCAAATATTTTTTCTTTTCTAATGCTTGAAAGCAAGTCAATGGAGGGAACTTGATACTAGGAATACAGCTAATCTAAGTGAAATTAGACTCAATAAATGGCTCATTAGCTAAACTTGATGAGCCAAAGAACCAAGTTTGATCAGCTCAAGTGCCAATTCATTAAACAAAAGTTAATCTAAATTATCTTAAAAGAATCAAAATTCAAGGGGTTAGTTTACAAAGTTATTAAAAAAATTAATAATCTTACTTCCCCTCTGTCTGAAAAAAGTTATTAACCTTCCTCCAAATTATCATTGTTCATGATTTAACGACCACAATTCCTCTAGTTAATATTAACCTTCTCTCTTCCATGCTCAAGCTAATTGAATCAAGCTTGAGCTTGATTAATCAGCTAAGCTCAAGCTAGGTGTGGCTCAATTTCGACTCGATAAATTCACGCCACTTATTTTAACCAAGTTTATGAAGGGCGCAGAAAAGCACCAATTTGATTATTTCAGCATTCCTCTAGACTATACAAAGAAAGTACATAAATATAGGCATTAAGATTCTTTTGTCAAAGGACTGATAACAATGGTTGAAAGTAATAATAATAACAATAAACAAGACATGAAAATGCTTGTAAACAAACCAAAATAATAAGTAAAGACATGATTGCGTTGACATATGAAAATAGCTCAAATCAATAAAATGTAAAATGTACTTTTGATCAGCTCCACTTGAATTGGAATTTGGCAATGGGAAAAGGGGTTCCATATCCCAATTCTTTGTCCAAAGTGTACCATCATCTTTCGCCTTTGCGATGATCTAAATAAAAGCATCAAAATCAGTACAATAAAGAAAAAAATACCCTAATCGACTAGGGTAAGTTTGGAGGAATTCATCTTCTATATGAAAACTAGTTGGAAGTAGAGTCTCATCACTTCAATAGTAATCTGAACATCCATCCTACCATGTATCACAAATGAGGATGATCAAAAGCTATAAGCATAACCATGAATTAACATAATGCACCCAAAATCTGCAAACATCCTAAGAAGTTGCATTGAGTTTAGGGAAAAAAAATATTGTGGAGTCTAGTTAGAGCAAAAAATTAAAAGATTGGATATTACAAGTAATAAAGATGGAAAACAAGAAACCTAAAACATTAACCATACCCACTCCAATAATATCATCAATTACAACCTTAAAAAAACTGCTTGGGTTTATCTTAGAGAGTTTAGCATTTTGTATTCATCTCTACTCACTATTTTGAATCATTCTTTTACACGGCTTCTATCCAATATATTCGCATTTTACTTCTCAATTCTTCGACATTACTTTATCTTATTTTATTGATGCATCAACCTCTATGTTGCACGTCAAGAGCACCAAAATCTATTTTCCATTGCATTATATTAAATAGATACTACTCCCAAGTCCCATTGTCTCTCTGATATAATCATTTCAGATCAAATATTTCTAGTTTCTCATGCATCTATCAATAATATTTACATTCCTAAAATGCTCAATTTGCCAAAAAGTCAAATAAACAACACTTAAACATATACAACATAGCTGGCATAAGTATAATTTTATAAAATTTAATAGTACACCTCCAATAATATTCTCTTATCATATAATACTCCTACAATATATGATGCAACCTAAGAACAAACTTTTCTCTATGAAAGCAAATAAAAACACACTTCCTTTTTCATTAACATAAATCTTAAATAATACAAACAAACACAACAATAAAACAGCACTAACACCACTTACAACTTATAATAGACAAGACACAACACAACTTGTAACTTATAATAAAACAGGACATGACACAACTTAAAACTTACAATAATTTTAGAGAAGAAGATACAAGAGGAATGGAAACTGTGGAGACAACTTAAAACTTACAATAGTTTTAAAGAATATAGATACAAGTGGAATGGAAACCATGGAGAAGAATAGATATAAGTTTGAGACGAAATATAAGAAAGATAGGGAGAAGAAGATAGCTTGCAAACTAGAAAAAACCCGCAGATTTTGAATGATCACATTCCAAAAAATCTTCAAAGTCTTTCTCTCTCAAAGAAAATTAGCCTCAATTTATAGGAGAAATAAGAGGGAATAACATTTAATAGACCATATAAATGTGCCCCCAAAACAGCCACTAAGAATCACCAAAACAACACACATTTAAAGCCTCCTGCATAGGAATCAGCAAAGAGGAAACCAAATAGCAACAGCATGGAAAACGAGCAGCCAATAGTAGAAAAACAACAGAAGAGCAACAAGGGAAAAAATAGCCAGCAGCACTTAGGGAAGACCAAACAGCACTTGGGAAAAATCAAATAGCACTTATAGCACTGATGGAAGACCAAACAACAGCAAGTATACGAGAAGATAGCAGTGAAAATGAGTGAACAACAGAAAAACTGAGAGATAGATGGGAAACCGAGGGGCCAACTTGGAAAATGAAGGGTAAACAGAAAAAACTGAAAAGTCACTGGAGAAAGAAAGCTAGAAACACAAGTATAAAATAAAGAAAACATAAAATGGCAACTCTTGACTACATCAATATTTCTCCATTTTAACCATGCAAACTTAGCTATAAAAGTCATGTCATCATCAAAATCCCTATCATTTTTTTCAATCAGTTTAGAACACCATATGAAAAGCATACACTAAGGTACTATATTTTAAATATCATATGTAGGCATGACCAATAAAAAAAAGAGATAAGAGCATGGTACTAATTCTTGATATAAACATATAGTGAGCAGGAACAATATTGTCTTTCCATGAGAACTTCTAATGCTATAGAATATTTTATCATGTATATCTTTATTCTTTAATAACTTTAGCGTGCCTTTAACATACCTTTTGTTTCTTTGATTTGAACCAAATCATTTTAGATAATACTCAATCATCTGCTTTCTCAAGATCAATAGAACTCATAAGATGATCTGTTCTTTTCAATATTTTTTTAGTCGTAGCTTATAATTAGCATTCATGATAGATATTTTAGATATTAAACCATATTTGTTTTTTGATATCGACATGATATCATGAGTCCATGCTCCATTACCCTAACTCAACGCAATCCTAAACATTTCTACATTTTTTAATATTGCTACTAAAATACTTTTTGCCAAATCATTTACCTTCTTCTTCAATTTAAAATCGTTATAAAAAATTTAACCAAACTACTCCAATATCACCAATAACTATTCAAAGAATAGGTATGTCCTCTTAGACCATAAAATGAAAAAGGAGCATACAGCCTTGAAAGAAAGTAAAGCCAAAAGATATTAAAATAGAATCACATTCCAGTAAAAAACAAATGCTTTGCAAAAAGAATAAAATAATAAATATGTAGAAATAAAATTCACAAACTCAAAATTAGAATCCTACAATATAGAGATCAGACATATTCAACTATATTTTCAATGCGTTAACCTCCTTATAGAAAATGGTACCAAGTCCCTTATCAAGAAATACCAAAATATGCAAGTGTGATATTTTTCATCTTGTTTAATATCTCATAGCATAGAATGTGTTATAAATTTATAATTTATACTTCAAATAATTAAAAAAATTCATGTATCTTTTCATCTAAAACTAACATTGAATATATGCAAATGCATTCGCATGACCTCACGTAATTAGTTTGTGAGTAAAATTTCAAACTGAGCAACTTCAGAATTGATCTAAGTTCTGCAAATTGTTCTCACCTCAGACAATATAAGTTTATTGGAAGTCCTTTGCGCATCATCCTTGCATCGAGAGAAACACCTTTCCACATAAGCACGAACAGACGGGGGGAATGCTCCCTGCTAATGGCAATAATTCAAAAAGGAACAAAACAGTTACATCTAATTAAAAATAAGTTGAAATAAGCATGGAGTGATAAAAAAGAAGTAAAAATGACGAAAACAATGCATTTAGTAATAAAGGGAATGCCCCCAGCTAATAATATCAAAAACACTTACGGTTGATATCCGAGGAAATAGTTCAGGGATAAGAAAACATCATTTTAATAATATAGTTAACAATTAAAATGCCATCTCGAGTCATTAAACTCTTACAAAAAATCTTATTACAATCCCCTAAAAACATCAGAAAAAACTAGTACTGATCGATATCTCAAATAACAATATCATTAAACTTCATCAATTTGAACAAAAAATATGAACCCAAAAAATGAGAACCTGCAAAGATGACTTCGGTTTTGAAATCAATGCTTAGCCTTCAGTCTAAGAGACTGTCATAGATCATGAAATCTGTCTTGAGATATAGTTGCAGAATTACTTCACATGCATTTCCACACTAAAAAGTAAGATGAAGTGATCCATAAGGGTATTCAGCAAGATAGGCCTGGATGAATTTATATGGTAGCATATCAAGTTGCACGGCAAGCTACACTTCATCACATTCTCGCTTTATTATTTCCATTTTTTTATACATCCTTCCCCCTCCCTCCTTAATATTAAAATAGCCTCTAAGGGGCAGACACATGAACAATTATTAAACTAACCCTCCATTATTTTTAAAATTAAAATAGCATGGATTCTAAGTTATGATGCACCGACACTTCTCCTCAAAGAGGCGTGCAATATCCGACACTGTATCCGACACGACACTCGTCCGACACTTATCGGACACGCCGAAAATGTGTCCGATTAAAAAATATTAAATACAAATTGGACACGCATGTCTGACATGCGTATCTTAAATATTTTATGAATTTTTTTAAATATAATTTCTTGTATTTGATGGGATTTAAACTAAATTTCTTATTTCCTATCCAAAACACCAAATCAACCCGCACTTAATACCCAATCATTGAATATTCTCATTTTCATTTCTTTTTGGCAATGAAGGTATTTTCATCTCCTCTCTCGGTGACTGATAAATGACATCGACGTCTGACTCTCGACATCCTAATACTAATCATTTTAAGCAAAAATTCTAGTTAAATGACTTATTATTTTCAAATTAATTTTAAAATTATACTTATTTAATTTTTATACATTATTTTTTAAATATAAAAACTATAATAACGTGTCTAACCCGTGTCCGTGTCCTATATTTTCAATAACTGACGTGTCCTGTGTCAGTGTCGTGTCGTATCCATGTCACTGTGTCCATGTCTGTGCATCATAGCTTCTAAGTGGCCAGGCTATTAAATAATAAAATAATATATTTCTTTACAATTTAAAGTTGTGCACCAAAAGCATAATTTTAATGTCACTTAATTCCTATTTTTTGGGGCGGCAACAAAGCATAAGAGAATAGTGTGAAATTTTAAGCGGATCCAGGATATGATTAGTTTTACAATTTCTATTTTCTAGCCTTTTTTAGGACTAGTTTGCATCTTTACCTTAAATAAGAATCTCTAATTAATTTTCCATGGTATATTCAAGCCAAATTCCCTATCTTCCAAATAAGCACACCAATCACTCAAATAACCTCTACTCTCTCTTCAAGTTTCTTTCTTCTAAGCTTTCTCCAGAAAATTTTCTTTCCTTGCTCTACCTTGAAAGTGAGCCTTGCAAGAAATTTTTATGCATGCAAGGAGGTGATACAAGGTGCTAAGCAATCAACAAAAAGTCCATGGAGATGAAGTGATTGTGAGAATCTATCTGAAAATGAGAGAGGAGAATAGTAGAATACTCCCCCAAGGACTTAACCATGAGATATTTTTCCATTCAAAGTGAATGTGGAACTAAACTTCAAATTGAGCACTTGAAAGGAATTTTTACTGAAGTTGCTAACTTGGAAGGATTGGTGAATGCAAACAAGATACAAAAATAAATTGAGCGCTTTGAGAATTACTTAATTTAATAATACAATCTGATAGATTTTTCTTGCCATATGTTATTCTTATAATTATATATATAGTGAAATGCATAACTCAAAGCCCACAACATGTCTAAAACAACATGGACAAGCTTAGAGTCCACTTACCAATGAATTCTACACCATTGTACACGAAGATTAGGAATACATCTAACGGAAACAATTGCAAAATAGTCTGAGCAAAATGTGTGGGTACCAACACTAAGTTATGTAGGAAAGTAATTGAACTAGAAATATCATTTCAAGAAAGATTTCTCTTCATGAAGTATGTGATGGGGTTATATGAGGGACTCCAACACGAATTGAAGCTCTTCTAAGTCAATATTATTGCAGAGGCTAATACCAAAGTGATAGTTTTAAAACAAAGAAAACGCCCAACTTTGGATCAAAAGAAAAGGAAAACAAAAAAGAAAAAGAACGGTGAATAGAGAAGAAATACGATAAGAGGTTAATCTATACATACTCCAAAATTAGCAAAGCAGTCAAAATCATTGGAAACTCCATCTTTGATGCGGGCAAAAGATATAGGGAGTCTATATCTCTTGATCACAAAAGACACGATGGACTTCTACGGGCGAAATTGGCTAAAGACGAGAAAAGAGACGAACAAACTCTTACATTTCAAATTAAAGAAATAAAAGAAATTAAAAAAACACAAATGAAAAGACACCATAAAGTTGCTGCACTTGGAGAAGAAAGATACAGGTGGAGTGGCACTTACGGAGAGACGAAAGAGATTAGAAGCCCGAGAAGAAAGGTTGGAAAGAGCCCGCAGGATTTCCGGAGGGGATGAGAAAGAAGGGTGGAAAGAGCCCGCAGGATTTCCAAGCAACCCGCAGGTTAGTTTTTTTTCCAAGAAAATCAATATATTTCATTAACTTATTCTCAAACTTTACAATCCCCATATATATATATGAAAGGGGAAGATAAAGACACTTACTTAATTAACACTAAATCCAACTTACACATAGAAATACCCCCTCCAAGCTCACGTAAACCCAGGAAACCAAGGAGAGACACACGGGAGACGAGGGAACACACGGCCGAGAGCCAAGCCACCAGGAACGCAGAGAGTCACTGAATAAGGAAGCCAGGCGTGAGAGTCCGAAGAGGCAAACACAAAATACAAAGCCATGAGGAAACCAAGGGTACCTCAAGGAAAAGACAATTTCTTGAATACCAAAAGCGCGTTTGGAATGATACGGCCTGCCAAAAGAGACTATACATATAATTAAAAACATAAAAGAAACACACTGTAATAACAGAATTTTAATAATGAGCATAAAGTTACTCTAATAAATGAACTAAAAGTCGTCATATAAGTACTAAAGAGGTCACCTGTAGTTCAAAATGATAGTCGTATAAAGCTGTCAGACCAAATTGATAATAGCCAAAGCATTGATTTATTTGGACTAGTATTGAGCCCCTTGTCTCATCAGACCCCTTCTTGCGAATTCAGCTCTCTGATGAACTTATCTGTTTTTATATTTATTCCGTTGATTCTCATTGCAGGCGGTGGCATGTCATATCGATTCCTTGAGTACCTCAACCAAACTTTTCATAATTTCTTCCTGTTCTTTCAAATTGCTTTAGCGATACCTTTTGTTTATCGAATTTTTATACATCAGGAAATGCTGATATTGGCAGTTATGTAGAGCGTCTTGAATGTAGGATAATCCTATGAAGTCGCTCTTACGTATACACTGCGTATCCTGTTCCAAACGGGAGTGGACTTAGGACATCGTCGCTTTCTTCCTGAATGTAGCCATATTTTGGTACTTTTTCCATTTTTTTGACTCAAACCAAAAAATTAACAAGACTCAATTACAACATTAAGACATCAAAATGACTCATGACAACTCAGACTTGACCTTGAACTGATAAACAAAAACTGACATCAAATAATTTGACAACTATCAACTTGACAACGCGACACAAACCTGGACTCTACATCTTCATCTGATCACGAAATGCTGCGGGCAAGACGAATAGGAGTCTATATTTGCCTGATCAAAAAGACACGAGGGACGGATTTAACACGGGCAGGAATGGCTAAAGAAGAGAAGACGAACAAACTCTTCACATTTCAATTTAAAAAAAAAAGAAATTACAAAAACACAAACAAAACAACGCTAAGTGCCTGCACTTGAGAGAAGAATAGATACGGTGGAGTCACTGGCGAGAAGCGAAAGAATTAGAAGGCCGGAAAAAGTTGGAAGAGACCGCAGGATTTGCCGGAGGGGATATGAAAGATGGTGAATAGAGCGCCCGGCAGGATGTCCAAAGCCTAACCGCAAGGTTAAACAGATTTTTTTTTTTTCAAAAATTCAAAATATCATTCACTTACTCATTTCAAACATACAAATACCCCCCATAATAATATGTATGCAAAGGGGAAGACTAAAAGAACACTTAGCATTAATTTACACTACAATTCAAAGCATTAAACTCATAGAAAATCCCCCCAGCTCAACGTAACACCAAACAGACGCAAGAGAGACAGCCAAGCGGAGACGAGGGAACACACGGCACCGAGAGCCACGGCACAGGAAACAGGAGACGGTCACGGAACAAGAGCCGCCGTGAGACCAGAGGCCAAACACAAAAACAAAGCCATGAGGAAACCCAGATCACTTAGGGAAAGACATTTCTTGATATTCCAAAAGCCGTGGATTCCCAAAGAGACTTGACATGCAATCTAAAAAAAAAAAGCCATAAAAATGTTATTAAAATAATAAATGACAAAATTTTAGCTCATATACTCCAAACCCTGATTCATACATGAACTAAAGTCCACATCATAAACTGAACTAAAAGTTCCTCCAAATAATATAAACTACTAGACTCAAGGGACAGCCAAAATTTGATTTATTCTGGACTAGTGTTGACCCCCCCTTAGTCACAACATTCTCTTGCGATTAAAAAAATGTAGTTAAGTAGGAGAAAGAAAGCACTATCAAGAGAAATAGGTAAT